TTTTTTTTTTTTGGTAAGCACTTTGATAACAGTTACTGTTTTAAATGTGCAATATAAATAAATGTGACTTGACTTGACTTTTTAATTGACTTTTGTGTGTCTTTGTCCAGTGCGAGTTCTGTAAGATACTGCAGCATCATGATACAGTTACGCAAGGGACAACTAGATGCCACACAGCCCAAAAAAAAAAAAAAATGGATGTTTAATAAAACTGCTAAATAAAAATGTCTCCAAATATGTCCATCTACAACTGATTACCTTTTGGAGTCAACCCAAATCAAGATGGCTGACAGAGCTAAGTGATCTTAAAAAACACAAATGGCTTTTACAAATCCTGCATGTTATTTTCACAACTTTTTTTGTCTGTCCAAACAGGTCTCACTTGTAATAGAGTCTTCGAGGCTCAGTGTGATTTATCTGTATAAATAAAAGTTGAATTGAGCTACACAGATATTTATTCCCAACACAACAAAAGTATTCATACCCCTTGAACATTTTTTCACATTACAACAAACTTCAAAGTGTTTAACAGATATTTCAATTGGATAAAGTCAACTAAAGGCTGCAGAAATCATTTAATTAATAATCTAACAAGGTGGATTCTTCTTGTTGAAATGTTTCATCAACAAGAAGAATCCATCCAGAGGACCTGACTCAACCTTGTTAGATTTATCTACCTGGATTCTTGAGCATGCGTCAAGAGTACTTACTTAATAACCTGTATGGTTTAATATCTGTATAAACCTAGCAAATCTGTGAACCTCTGAGTTTTGTTACAGATTATCAGAAATCAAACAGAATCATGAAGACGAAGGAAGACCAACTAATCTGAGATAAAGCTATTGAGATATTTAAAGCAGAGTTTCATTATAAGACAATCTCCAAGCTTTGAATGTCTCAAAGTATTTACTTGAGGGATTGAATACAAATACACACTGCACACAGTTTTACTTTTTTTTTTTTACCATTTGTGATTTTCCTTCCACTTCTCAATTTTGAGTTCTTTTGTACCAAGGTATCACAAAATCAAATGAAGTTTTTGGTTTTAACAGAGTCAAAATGTGGAAAAGTTCAAGTTAAGGCACTGTGTTGCACAATGTTTTGGTTTAAAAGTTTGGCATGCAAAGCCGGGAGGCTGTTCCTTAAAGGAATGTTACTTTCATTATATCCAATTTTCTCCTGCTTTTTCATGAAACATTAATCATTTAAAGGAGTTTTCCAACACGTTATGATTTAGAATGTGTGTGAAAACCAAACAATCTACAGATTGCACTCTTAATAATTTTGCTCAAACTCAGCCTTTTGAAGATCCACATGGCAGAGACTGTCACTGATTTTAACTAGCTCTACTGTCATGCCCGTAAATCATAAAGATGTGCATTTAAAAAAGAAAACCTAGATGAGCAGTCAGTTCAGTTTAACTGTCAGATACAGAAATGAATCCTAGGCTGCAAAAACTCTGTTTC